ATCATTGAGCCACGCCTACTCCCGACCCAGCCGCCATCACTCAAGCGCCGGGAAGTAACCTGGGCCCTGATACACCGCGGGAAGGAGAGCCACACCTGCTCCTGATGCAGTGCCATCGCTCAAGTGCTAGGAGGTAGGCTGGGCCCCGATCCACCGATCCACTGTGGGAGGGAGAGCCACGCCTGCTCCCAACCCAGCGCCATCGCTCAAGCACTGGGAAGGTAGCCACCCGGGTGCCCCTGAACCCCCATAAGCCCCCCACACACTCTCCTACCTCCTGTGTCAGTCTTTGTACCCACTCTGCAGAGGCAGAGGTGGTCATCAAGGCTATTTTTCTGAGTTCCCAACTCTGAACATCTTTAAAGAAAGGGTGTGGGAAACCTGTAATAGAACATTGTGGAGTTCAGCCATTCAGAAGGTTGGGGAACTCAGTCTGGGCCTTGCAGCCCGAGGTCAGTCAGAGTCATGTGGTTCAGCCATCAGCTAACTGAGACCAGGGGTCTTTCATCCTTGCTCTGCCTGAGCCATTAAATGGTAAATGCACTATGTTGAAATTTTTTTCACTGCAGACATGTTCTGGACTGCTTCTTGGTTTCAATTTAATTCAAATGATTTAAGGGTGATAGACTAGTGACTACCACTGGTGGTCAGTGTCAAAGTTGGGCTTGATCTTAATGTGTTGCTGATTGTATCAGTTGGGATAGGGCATTGTGGTTGATTTGATGAGCTGTTTTCTCTGATGTTATGAAGATGAGAATGTCTGTGGGTCATTAGAGACACAGAAGCTAGGGTGCAACTATATCAGGAAGATTTGGGTGATAATACAGAGATTAAACCAAGGACAGTGCAACAACAAAAATTAAAATGAGAAAACACTTCAGCAAGACACAAGGACAGACTTCCAGTTTACCAATGGCAAACAGTAGGGCAAACGAGGATGAAAAGGCCAATAGTGAATGACCAGGACACCCTAAACTCAAAGCACAGGAAGTAACAAAACAGATCAATCAGGCTCTAGAAAAATTCAAAACAGAAATAATTTCCCAGATAACCATAGAGATAGTGAGCAAAATGGAAGTCGTGATTCAAGACTCTAGAGCAGAAACTGACAAAAAAATAGATGAGCTCAAGACCATGATAGAAGCCATGAAGGCCCAGCATAAGAAAGAAATGGAAAAAATAAACGCCCAACATAGGAAATAAATGGTATCCATAAAACAGATTCAAACAGATATCCAGGAGATTAAACACTCTATTGAAAGTGTACGCAACAGAATAAAAGAATGTGAAGACAGACTCTCAGATATAGAAGATAAGATTGCAGTCAGTGACCATGAAAAGACAGTTCTCTTAAAAACAGTAAGAGATCATGAGAAATTGATCCAACAACTGCTAGATGATGCAAAGAAGAATAACATAAGACTGATAGGAATACATGAAGTAGCAGAAGAAAATACAAATGACTTAAAAAAGCTGTTTGCAGAATTAACGACAGAAAACTTCCCAAACAGAGGGGAAGAATTGGACATTCAGATAGCTCAGGCATATAGGACCCCAACTAGCTACAATCAAAAAAAATCTACACCTAGACATATAATAATCAAGATCCCAGAAACCCAACAGAAGAACAAAATACTACAAGCAGTAAGAGAAAAGAAACAAACCACATACAAAGGAAAGCCCATCAGAATCACAGCAGACTTTTCAACACAAACCCTTGGGGCAAGGAGAGCCTGGAATGAGATATTTCAAGTACTAAAAGAGAACAACCTCCAACTTAGACTTATGTATCCAGCAAAATTCTCTTTCAAAATGGATGGGGAAATAAGACACTTTCACGACAAAGAACACCTGAGAAACTACATGAATACCAAACCAGCCCTATAAGGAATTCTAAACAAGATCCTAGAAAAAGACAATGAAGGCAACAACACCATGAGGCCCAACAGAGCAAATCAAATAGGCAAGGCAAGGAATTAAAAGGAGAAGGTGAAAAAGTAAAAAGAGTCAGCAAAAGGCCAATAACATGTCAATAATAAGTCAGTACATATCAATTATAACCAGCAATGTCAATGGCCTCAACTCACCAATCAAGAGAAATAGATTGGCATAATGGAATAAGAAGCAAAATCCAGCAATATGTTGTATACAAGAAATACACCAAGTGCAAAAAGAAGCCCATAGACTGAAAGTGAAAAGATAGAAAACAATTCTCCATGTGACAGGAGCCCAGAAAAAAAGCAGGGGTAGCAATCTTATTTACAGACAAAGTAAATTTCAAACCAAAACTGATTCTAGTATTATTGATGTAGGACGGTACTGTATCATACCTCTATGAATGTAAATTATCTTGTACCTGCTTTATGATATGTAGTAGGGACCGTGCTTTATCAGAGCTACATTTAATGATATTACTCTAGAATGTTCTCTTTCCAGATGATGATTAAGATGCTAATAAAAAAAAATGGTCCCAGGTACCACAACAGCAACAGAACTTTGCTGTTTTTTGGATATTATTTTCTTTGGGTTTTTTTTATTTGTTTTGTTTTGTTTTGTTTTTAATGGAATGTGC